GAAGCAACTGATTCCACGTTGCTCAGACTATTTTCGTCAAAATATCACATTAATAATCCATCTATTATTCTGTACACAAGGATAAATTATTCAGAATAATGTTAACCTAAAAAACATTTTGAAAATAAAAAAAAAGAACAAGTCAACATGGCTATCTTAGAATTAACATACTGTAAAACTTGTTACTTGAACACTGTAAAATTGAGTTTGAACTAGCAAAAAACTTTAATAGTGATCTATAAAAACCTTTTTGCATTTTGCATGATTTTCCTAATGTAATAGTATTGGTAAACTACATATTCTCTATACGATAAATATATTCGAAATCTATTTTCATTGGAAAGAAGATTACATTTTCTGGTTGTTCAACTTTGTCCGCTTTTAAAACTTTGAAAGTTGAACAAAAATGTGTTCTGTATGAAATGTGTGAAATGTGACGTGAAAGGATGGTTAAATGGTTGAATGTGGGTGGTTAAATGGTTGAATGTGGGTAGGTAGGTTTTGGATAGTATTTTGAATGTTGGTAGATAGACGTTGGTAAGTAAACGTTGGTAGTTGAAATGTATAAATGTAAATTGTTTCATTTATTATTTATTTATTTTCTAATTTTTAATTTTAATTAGGGAGATTTTTTTTTTTTTGGTGTTTTTTACTTATGAATTATTTTCTTTTTGTTCTCGATTTAGTTAAATTGTGTTTGTTTTTTTCTTTATCTATATATGTAGAAGAGAGAGTTTGCATGAAAAGTAAAATTATACGTAGTTGTTGATGTAAGTTTATGGGAATATTTACTAAGCGAAAAAATTGACTGTATAAATTAAACAATTTGTTTAGAAGTTTATTTAAAAGCTAGGTAAGTAGACTTTGTTGAATAATTACAAAATGAAAAATGTGAGTTTATTGAACTTGTGTTTTGAGATAAGTAAATTTAAAGAGGAAACTATGTTTAAGTAATAGATAAACCGAAATATGGATTTAAGACGACTATTTTTTATCGATAGTAAAACGATACGATATAAGTGATTAAACGGTTGAATGTAGTATGTATCCTATTGTGAATTATCGTAATACATAATTCTTTCTATGTTAAATCATTTAGATCAATGAAATTGGTTCTTCCTTTCATCATGTCTTATAATTATTAAGTCTATGAAAAAAAGAAAATACTTTATCCTGACATTGTCTTTTCTTGATGTATTCGATATCCATATTTGAAAATAAACCATAAGTCAATTTCATTTTTTACAAGCATGTAGCTAAAAGAAAATGAAAAAACAATCAAGAGGAAAAATTATGACAAATTAAGCTTTTTATATTTGACTTACTAATGCAGCTACATAATTTATTTACTTATAAAGAACTTAGCTATGTGGATTTCAAAACATTTACAAGAAAATATAGTCATTCTTTTGCTTTCATGTCTGGATTTCATATAGAAAAAATGAAATATTCAAAATGCAAATTGTTTTGATTTGTTTATTTTGGTAGATAGACGTCGATAGATTTGTTGGTAAGTAATATTAATAGTTGGTAAGTAAATATTAGTAGTTGGAGTGTGTAAATTCAAATTCTTTGATTTATTATTATTATTATTATTATTATTATTATTATTATTATTATTATTATTATTATTATTATTATTATTATTATTATTATTATTATTATGTTTTTGATTTTTAATTCTAATTAACTCAATTAATAAAAAAAATTATGAGAACCCCCCCTTTTTTGCATTTCTTACTTACAATTATTTTCTTTTTATTCTTGATTTCATTAAATTATTTTTTTTTTAAATAAAAGAGAGAGTTTGCATAAAGAGCACAGTTATACATAATCGTCGATGTAAGTTTATGGGAATATTTACTGAACGAGATAATATATAGATGAAATAGCTTGTTTAAAAGCTTATTTGAAAGCTAGGTAAACTCTGTTGGAAGTATATATATATATATATATATATATATATTTATTTATTTATTTATTTATTTAAAATCATATAATTGAATCTTAACCGAAGACTCATTAGTCTACTAGAGATTTATAGATTAGGATGCTTGTAGAATCACAGAAGTGGCCACTATTAGATTGCCTATTGTCCCAAAACAAAACGAACGTGAATATTTTGAGTTGAGGTTTTATCCAGAGCTAAGGGCATCAGTATCTTCAACATGTTCACCAGTCTTCATTTTCTTCTTGGAATGAATTTCGATTTTTTGGTCTCGAGTTTGAAAGAGAGCCATCTTTGCATTTGGTGTAGGTACTTCGTCGGTGTTTGTAGAATCTTGATTGTCTGTCATGTACATCTTCTCTTTACTTTTCATAGACGTTTTGTTCGAACTATCTTCAATCGTTGCAGGAGAAGGATCCAATTCCATGATTGTATTTGAAGAATCAACGTCAGTCATTTTTGAAGAGTTGAATATGAAGATAATTTCATATCGGTATTCAGGTGGGTTTTGGCTTTTTGGTGTTACTTTTCGATAAAAAAGTTGTTCTTGTTCGTTCTCAGTTCTTATGAGATCTTTTAGTTGTGTATCCATAACCTGGAATATTCAAATTGTACTCAAGTGTAACTCCTAAAAAAAAAATTCAATCATAAAGTTAGTTATTTTACTTAAAATATAAATGTAAAGGAAATATTATATTTCTATTTTGTATACCGTTGTATGAAGAAACCTTTAAATTAATCACCCATATGATTGGTTTGTTTCCGATGTTATCAATTATTGTAACGCAATCATTTTCAACAAAAGTGTCCCACAACGTTAATATGACCGTCTCGAAAGATTTATCTATCAGCACAACATCTTGAAAACATGCTTGTGTGCCAAACTAGGTTTGGGTAATTCTTTTTTGACGAACTTCTATAGCGATGCCCATAACGCCTGTAACAAGGAATTTGTGTTGATATCATATTTTGTATATGATAAAATGAATATAAATAGAACGATTATAAAATGTTAACTAAATTTATATTGGTTATAAGTTAGTGTGTTTGTAATCATATTTATCTCTGCATTACTATCCATGTATCATTCCAGTTTGTTGAATGCAGTGAGTTCATATCTCAAGAAGAGAAAGTTTAAATGATCCTCCTCAAGTTCTTCTATTTTTGTCTTTGCTGTTATGGTCCAAATTTTGTCTTGAAGTGAGCCTCTGAACTCATTTCTGTTGTCTTTCATAGTTGCATTTGATAACATGTATGTTTTCCCTAGTGTTAGCTCATCTGCAAGGGCTGTAATATTTGCGTCATAGATAATGACAGTAACTTTGTTACACCGTTCAAATGTGAAAACGAGTTCAATATAAATATATTAGCAAAACAAATAGTTAGAACAGAAATAAGAAGATTTTTATAGTTATGAATATATATTTACCTCTAAATCCATTAAGAGAAAATTTTGGTAGCGGCTAACGGTATTTCGAGCAGCTTTAGGTGCTTGTTTTCCTGCAACTATAATTTTTGCGGTCCAATTCTTCTCAAAAGTGAAAATCTGTGGGATAAGTTTATAAAATGCGGCCATTCTTGATATCCTATGATTATGTGAAGAAGAAATTATAACACAGATAGCTACGGTTGTCAATGTTACGCTAAATTTATTGTAAAAAAATTCTATTAATATTTCTAATTCTAAAAAAAATTTATCGAATAATCTAACGTTCTTCTTTTCGATTAAAAGATAATTATAGTAAAACGGTAGTAACGTGCAAAACTTACCAATAATAAAACGAAAACGGAGTTTTTAAACTTTGGTAGTTGAAGTTGAAGAGTGTGATGTTTTTGATATTGTTGTATAATTTTGATGTTGAAGGAGAAAGTGAAGGCACTATAAAATAGTTAGTCGAAAGCAGATATTAATAGAACATGCGGTAGAAGAATCGTTGTTTTAATCTGCAACCATGCACTTGGTGCTGTAAAATATCTTTTTGTGTGGATGAGAATTAAGCTGGAAGAAAAATTTGATGATGGTTTATGTTTAAAAGTTTTGCGTGGAACATTGGTACTATTTTTTATTATTTGTAATATATCTATTTCACGTAGATATATATGTAATTGATGATGGTTTATGTTTAAAAATTTTGCGTGGAAAGTTGGCAGTATTTTTTATCATTTGTAAAATATCTATTTCACGTAGATATATATGTAGAGTTGAAAACTATTTTATGGGAAGTTGGTATTTTTCTGTGTTGGTTTTTTACTGGTGCACGTGTTCATTTTGAAAAATATCACTTTACAATTTGCTAAAATTTAATAAATGGTGTTAGATTTGCAAATTGAAAAAGGGATTGTTAATCCATATGTTTCAAATACGAGTGTTTTATGCACGAGAAATTTATTAAAGAACTTTATTAAGGAACCTGTGGGGATATTTTAGTCAAGCATCTTAACTTATATTATCATAGGTCTTATCAGGTTATTTATTACTATTGTTGTTGTTTGTCCTTTTTCCTTTATTTTCTCTTGGATTGATGTATTTTGAAGAACTATCGTGTTCATTTATTACATTACTAAGAAGAAAATTCAATTTATGGTCAAAAAATGTATGAATTGTATGTGAAGCATTAGTTTTTAATTAAGTGAAAGACTAAATAGAAAACTCCGGAAGCCAGAAAGCTAGAAAATATAACAAAGCATACTATGATTATATTCTTATTTTACAACTTTAGTTCTTGTATTAAAAAAAAAAAAGCCTAACTTAGGAAGAAAAATAAATTGTATATCATAATACCAAAGCTTGTAAAATAACAAAATGATACTTATCGAGTATTTAACACTACTCTTTAATAGAAAGATAATCTTTTATGTTACAGCTAAAGAAAAGCTTGTATATACTTAAAAAGTATAAAAAGAAATTTTATAAAATTAAAATATTTCTTTAGGGCATCCAGACTTTTTACTATTGTGTCTGTCTCCTTTCATGTTGAGAAGTTTTGCTGGACTTATCCTGTAATAAATAAATAAAAATATTTATATATACTTGAGCATAAGAGAAGTAAAACATGAGTTTAGAATTTACTACCTAACCTTGTCTTCAAATACATAATTAGAGCTCCTTATCACTTTCGAAACAAAAGCAAAAGGCTTTCTAGGTAAACCTAACATACTTTTTAAAAGAACAAAAATATATTTAAATCTTCAACAATTCATATCTTCTAAATATTAATTGTAGTAGCTAGGCTATAGCATGAAATATTAAACACTTGAGTAGGGTTTATATTGTGTTTTAGGCCAATACACAAGTTTTAATGTTCAACAAAAATAGTAGTAGAAAGATAATAGAAATTTGTATACTTTCCTTCATTATTACCTCTTTAGGTTTCTCACATAAGCTTTTAATCTTCAAATACAAAATAATGAATATCTTCAATATGTAACACATATTTTAATTGATAATATGATAAAGCAGATTAATGTGACCTGATGCATACATGTGCTCATGCACCAAATAAAGGACAAGTATAGGTAAACCACAATAGAATATGACAAAATGCTGAAGACTAACATCAGAAATAACAACATTCACGCTAATTCTAACGCTTGCATTATTAACTGACAACACCAAATCAGTATTACCTGATCTACCAATGCATTTTCCACTTAGCAATAGGAACCACATGAATTCAACAAATGGTTAACACCAAGCTTTAGATAGACATACCAATAAATTATCGTTTTTATCACCATGCCCAATAATATTCTTTATCAGCATCTCCCTTGCAGTTGAATCACCATGCTGTAGACATTTTTCAACAACATTTGAAGTAAATTCATGCTGGCTCAGTTGTACTATAGATCCAGTTATTGTACTAATAATTTGGTTTCTTTCATGAGGTTTTCCCCTCTCTAGTACATGCTGTCATTAGTTAAAACCAATATAAGCAGCATGCATGAATCAAAAACTGGAAGTTTGAATTGAAACTTTACAGTGTGAAAACAATTTCATCATTTCACTAATAAATTTTCATTTCAGTCATCATGGAAAAAATTCTAAATTGTAGAAACAACCTTACTAAAATCTTAATGATGGAGACTTGTAATGATTTAATCTTGACGATTTATCAAATTTAAAAACTTATTTTTAGAAAAGCAATTAGGGTTTAGTTGTTTGCTATTGTTCTTAGAGAATTTAAATGTAGACGAATATCAAGTAAAACACAAATGAATACAAAAGAGGAATGAAATTAGTGTGAAGTGTATATTATTTGAAGTCGTCATATTTTAATTAAGATTATTTCACAAAAATAGTTAATGAAACTGAAATGGTTTTTGAATATAATAAAATTAAGATGCGCTACAAGATATGTAAAACTATTAAGACATATATGTAAAGATTTAAACAACTCACTAAATGTTCCTAAACATCCGAGCTCATCGACATATGTGTTGATAATGTCTGCTAAAGAAGAAAAAAAATTAGTGGAGTAAATGAAAACATTATTTTTAACCAAAGCTTTAAGCTGAAATAATTCAACTAACTTAAAAGGCTAATTGTACACGTAGAAAAAATAAAAAAAATAATAGATTTAAACTATATAACATCTCAAAGAAAAATGCTATACAAATCAATATGAATATTTTTATTTTTATTTTTATTTTATAATAAGATAAGCATAAATTAAAAACATATAAAATTGCCATACCTCATAGTATTTAAAATATGTTTTCTTATCAAGAATCCCTTTTATACCTTTAAAAAGTGATCAAATTTCAATTCCATTGAAAAGAACTCAATTCCCTATTAAACCATGCTTTACAACTTCACATTAGCTTGGTCAAATCCTTAAAAAAAATTGTCATAGCCCTGAGTCACCTAAATGCAAACATTAATAACTAAGTAGCAAGTGAGTCTTATTAGAGTCGTCATGATTGAAGTATATTAATTTAGATTATAATTCAGTTGGTGATTCAAAATATAAAAAACTTGAATTGTTGCAGATTTTTTTTAGACTTTTATATAAAGTTTAGTTTTAATAGTAAGTACAACAACAATAAGGCTTTGTACAAGAGCATTGATGCTTAAATTAACTATTTGAAAGAATGAAAAAGTAGTTAATTTAACAATTCATATTTGTGTTGTGTATCCAATTATACATATGTACTCATTAAATAAGGAAGCAAGTTTATTGAAAAATAAAAAGTAATATATTATCTAATAAATCAAAATGCCAAGAAAATGCAATACAATAATTGAATATCACTTTAAAGATTTTTATGAAAATGCGAAAAGTATGATTGTCGCGTTTAAAGCCAGATATGTAGAATTTTCCAAAGACAAATTAAAAAATAAAATTTATGTAATTTTTAGTTTAACTAGTATCCATGTAAAGATATTATGTAATGAGAGATTGCACACACTAACAAAGTTTTCAACCTTTCCAATCAGCTCATCAACGGGCAATACAGCAATTGACTTGTCTTTGTTATTTCTTAGTAAAGAAGATGAAGGATACGTTTTGTTGGTACCCATTCCCAAATCGTGCCATGTTTCCTTTCCTATTGCTAACTGATCACCTAGCAGAGCTTATTAAATAAGGAATCAAGAACCAAAAGTAGTGGAAAGGATCAAATAAAACGTATGATGCTAATAAAACTGACATTTATTCATATGGTCCTAAAAATAATTTATGTTATGCACTCAAGTGACAGTTGACAATAGTAGTCAATATCATTGTATTGATTAGAATGCCGATATAGAGATTTATCTCAATTTTAAATAGTAGTATTGCTTTCTCTAAGGATAGTACCTCAACCTAATAAAAGACTAAAAGTTGCTTGCTCAACCAATAAACTCAATTGTTAAATTCTAAATGTAATTATCAATAGCAAAGTTCATACATAAACTGAGTTCAACATGGTTGGCTATATAAAAGGTGTACTTTTGAGTAAACAGGTAGTTCTTTAATTGATCAAAATTAGAATTAACTTTCCTATTGTGCTAGTAAAGTGAGTTATTTTCACAGTAAGTAACTTTTACTTAAAATTAAACGGGAGTAACTTATCCAAATATATTTGAAAATACTTTTTCACCTATTTTTAAGCAAGGCTAAGGATGCTCTTAATCTCCTTTAATTGTTACTTGGAAGTCGAAAGATGTAAGAATTTTTCGATAAATGTATGATATCATAATATGCCAAGAATAAATTTTGTAAATAATAATCATCTGCAATCAAAAAATCTAGAAAATAGAAGACAAGTCTATGCTTGCTTCTAAATCAAACAGTAAGTCAATTGATCGAGTATTTAGCTGAGCTAAATTTTCAGTTAAACTGGATTCTCGAATTCCTTTTGGTTGTTTCAATGTTTGTTTTCAGTGCCTTTGTTGGTATTAGTCAAGATAATTAGTTTTCAATAACTGATGAAAAATATTTATGTGACAATTCATACTCATTAAAGTGTGAAACTTTTGAAGGTAAATCTATTCTTAAAATAGAGAAATGACATTCTATTTCCACATTCCACTGACATAAATTGGTTACCAATCTAGCAAAGTATTATAACACTAACAAATCAAAATCATACCTTTTGCAAACTTGAGTTTTATTTGAAGTTGTCGTTAAGGATTCCACTGTACACATGTAGCAAAGAATTGAAAATAACTTTTGAATCCCACTCATAGAACCTGTAAAAAAATTTTATAGCAAATGTAAAGAATGAAAAACTAGTAACGTCATATTTTGCATGCAATTAAAATTTTGAGGAAATCGTTATACGATAGCATATTATAAAAATCTCTGAACGACAAAAAAATATACCTATTAAAACATTTTAGGTATATGAATGTATAAAAGAAAGAACTTCTTTGTACACAATATTTTTAGTACATGTGTTATGAGAATTGTCTATGCTTGATGGTTTCAATAGAACTTTTAGAGATGTGCTCGTTTTTGCTCTTGATAATGCTACATATAACTGACCATGGCAGAAAATCGGTTCTGGAAGATATAGACTAACAAAATCAAGTGTTTGACCTTATGCTTTATTTATAGTCATCGTAAAATATGGTCTAATCGGAAATTGAGTTCTCTTAAATTGAATTGAGTTTCTATCACTTCGAAGAGGTATAAAAGGGATCCTTGGTAAGAAAATATATTTTCCACAATATTCACCAGTTGCTCTACATAATTGAATTCTCGTTCAATATTGAAATTGATTGTTTCCTCTGCAACCATTCTTGTCAATCTTTGAGTCTTATCTATATTTACGAAGAATGAAACTATTCCATAATCATTTACGTTTTTGCCTAATGATTCTAATATAGAATTGATGTCTTCCAAAGCTTGTACTTCAGCATCTTCAACAGATATGTTTCGATGTACATAATCATCAATCATATAGGCTTTATATTTATCCCACAATAGCTTTGGATAATTAGGGTTGCAAAGTGTAAGAGTGTTGCAAAAAGTCGTCTTAAAGAATTAGGCATTTTGTAAATAATAGATTCGGATAGACATTCTTCACAATGATTATCTCCTTTTAACAAACCACGTAAAAGTGCTGCTTCTCGATATATATTAACAGTTACTCTATTTAAAGTTTTAAAACTGTCAAATGACGTTGGACCTCTAATATGATTCAGAAGAACACGAAGGAAATATCGTTCTCCTTCAAATGGATTGACTGTCACAATTCATCCTATAACAATGTGTTGTTTTGTAGGAGTCCAAACTTTCCCATTTGCATTCCACACAAAATATGTTGGGAAATCTCGATACAACAATGTTCGAGCAAATTCATTTGCTTCATTTATCCGAAAAAATTCTGTTAACATTGTTCTTCTCGTATACTTATTCCCAATAATAATAGATAAATCATCTTTACTCTTGTAAGTTACATGCTGATGATCTTTAATATGAAGTTGTAAAGTATAAACAGTAGGATAAATTTCTGACAAATTGAAAGAAAAAATTCTCCACATAGCTTCAGGTGGAGATATCCATCTAGCTGATTGATAAGCAGAAATTTCATCGATTTCCTTATTCGTTTCATTTCTGCCTATGAAACAATTAATACGATCATGTCCTTTAAACACATATTTGTACAAATACTTTACTGCTTTAATAGAAGAACATACTTCAACGTTAATATGTCAGTCAAATTTTGCACTTAAATAAAGATTATATGGTATAACACATCGATTATCTAACATTTGACCTCTCACTTTAATAGAAATACCAATATTATGATGTCTATACAATGGATATGAGTTATCACCAAATATAGTACTGTTACAATAATCATTAGGATATTTATTTTTACAACCACTGCTTGTCAACATACACACATTTTTTTGATTAAGATTTCCACAAGGACCGTGCATATTGTGTTTTGCAATTACAAAATGAAGATGCAAGTATTTATTTTTATCGGGAATTTCACATGACACTATCATATCAACTTGTTCAGCGCAACAAGTTCTATGGGCAGAATTGAAAATCAACAATAAATGTGCATGAGGAAACCCTCTTTTTTGAAATTCAATCATGTATATATGAGCAATAACTGGGCCAAAAATATTTTCTTT